TCCTGGCTTGTGCCCTGACCGGAATCTAACCTTGACTACTTGGTTCATAGGTTGTACTCAACCACTGAGTAATATTGGCCAGGCTAAAACACACTTTTTAACACACTTATGTTTCCATACATGCCTGTCACCCTGAAACGAAATCTTCCCCTTTTCAGTGCTTCCTAATTGTTATATGAAATTACTACTGCCAGGACATAATCTACCTTTGTAATAGCTTATTCCAAATATATCCATATAAAGAAATCACTTATGAAACTTCACGAATTCTATTCTAGCCTTCGATCACTATCTGTCATCATGGTGGTTCTAGCATCTACCTATTCTCATATACATTAGTGACTTATTTTACTTAAAACCCCTGATAAATTGGCCTTGGCCAGAGAGCTCAGTTAATTAAATCATCATCTCAATAACTCCAAGGTTGCAGGTTCCAGCCTGTCAGGGTCCATGCAAGAATCAAACGATGAATGTATAAAATTAGTGGAACAACAAATGGGAGTTTCTCTCCCCCCTTATACTATCTCTCTCTAATCAATATAGCTGTGTGTTTTTTGGCCAAATGAGTCAACACATGTGAACACCATTCAGACCAGGCAGGGACCCTGTGGTGAACCAGCCATAAGGGTTCTCATGAGGGCAGAGCACACAGTGAGGGAGAGGACAGGAGGGGAGGGGCCCCTGCTGTCAGTGTGGAGGGTGGGGAACTGAGCTGAGCTGCACAGTCACCCACAGGTAATTATGACATCTGTGCTCTCTGAGACTAAGCCCTAAGGGGCTGGGAAAAGCTCTGGGCATGGACATGGGCCTTCTGGTCTCAGCACCTTCCAGCCAGGGGTGGAGATTAGGCTATTTTAGATTCAGGTAGTTGAGGAGCCCAGATCCCTCCCAGGCATTCCAGAGCAGCCCCTGAGACTTGAGGCCCTCAAATCAGTTCAACTACCTCTGAGCAGCCCACACACATCCCTGAGCCCCACAGGCATTGTTGGACTCTATTTTTTCATTTATGGGTTATTTTCCATTTTCATTTCCTTAAAAATACTACAGCGCAACCAGTCCTGGAGGTAGCATGGATTCTCCAGGAAATGGTGCTGTGTGTTTTCAATGGTGAAACCATTCTGCAATCCAGGCATTTCCAGAAGGAGAGGCTTGGTCTCAACATGATACCACATTAGGGGGATGTATTACAGGTGGTCTCCCTGCTCCATAAGTTTGGCCTGTGCAGAGCAGACCCTTGCACCTGAAGTGAGGTGATGGAGCCTGGACTCGGAGGGACAACATACTGTGGGATGTGAGGTTGAGGTGGCAGAGAGGTTGGGCCCTGGGACAGGGTTGGTGATAGGGTTTTCTGCCAGCCTATGGGGAGGGTACATTGTGTGTCCTGTGGCACTGTCTGGGTGGCCCCAATTATTTGTTTCTGTGTGTGTGTGTGTGTGTGTGTGTGTGTGTTCCCCTCAAGGTATTGCCTATGTCTACAGTGTGGGTCTCTGTGAGCCTGGACCTAAGTCTGGCACCTGAGTGCCCAGCAGAGGCTGGGGGTGTTCTCTACCTGCATGTTTCTGTGCTCATGTTATCTATATCTCTCTGAGTCTGTGCACCCCGACCACTGATAAGTCATAGTGAATCTCCGGAGAGGTGATGTAGAGGACTATCTGTTTTTCTTCCCCACACCCAGGTGAGCCCCTCATTCTCCTGCTCATCCAGGCATCTGGTGTCCCTCCGGAGGTCCCATCTTGGGGATGGATTAAGCACAGGGTCGCTTCATAGAACCTCAGGCTGTAGCAAGGTGGGGAATTGGGGAAGAGCGTGAGGACAGGCAGGAGGTATAGAGTGTGGATTGGAAATGTTTGTGGAAGATTCTGTGCCTTCTTGGAGTAGCTGGATGATCCAGGATACTTGGGAAGAATGCATGTGGGGGAAAGCTGAGGGGAACACTTCTAGGCTCCTAAGTCCCCACTAGTAATGAGGAACTGGACATCCCTGGAGAGCGTGTCCCTTGCCCATTGAGCACAGGTTCAGGCACAAATGAATGGAAACCCAGGATCAACGTTGATGTTAATGTCAGCATTTTTAAAATCACGCCACCTGATGGAGCCTTCACCTGAGCAATGCAAAAGATAAAGAGACTTGGGAGACAGGGTAGTGACTGATGTTAATTTCAAAGAACATGGATGCTGGAAAGCTTGCTGTCCTGTACCTTCCAATAAACATTCTTAACATGTGGGTCTTCACCTCGAACATAGTGGGGGAACCGAGGCAGCCAGAGATTTATCAAGGTCACACTCAGAAGTGGGCTCTGAGTTCATGGCCAGTGACTTCAAACCAAATTCCTTTTATTGAAGTTCATTCCTTTAAAACTTGACAGTGGTGGTCGTGGGCAGCTCTGGGACAAAGTGCACCTGGGTGAGGAGAAAGCGAACCATCTGCACTAATTTCCACTGTCACTTCCTACCAATCCTCACTGCTCTTCTTTGGCCCTACACACCCCAAAAGAGGCTGGCCCCATGTAGTCACATGAATGAGACCCATCAAGTGTGTCAGTTTTCCCTCCTGACCACCTGAATTTGGCTGAATCCCTGTGATGTGCTTTGACCAGTTAATTGTGCTGGGAGTGAAGCCTGTCACTGCTAACAGAAGAGTCTGGAAGCACTGAGACTGGCCACCCTCTGATATACCCAGGAGGTATGTATATGGTGGCTTCTCTTTATACAAGTCCCAGGAGAATCAGGGAGATCATGTGGCATGAACAAGAAAGATACCTTCTTTAATATAAGACAATAAATCTTTGGGTCTGTTTGTAATCTACAATAATATCTAGCCAATCCTAACAGTTATGCATTACCAGCTCTATTCTCTAGGTGGCCACAGAGCCTAACAGTAGAAGCCAGAACTCTGTTAGAGACACATGGGTTTGACTTCCAGCCCTGCCTTTAATTAACTCTATAATTATGCAATTTACATTGAAATAATCATTCATGTAAAGCATTGAAACCAGGGTTTGGCACGTGTAGTAAACTTTCAGTAACTCTTAGCTCCATAGCTTCATAATGTGTAATGACTACAAACATGCAGACAATGTAGAGACACATGGGTTTGACTTCCAGCCCTGCCTTTAATTAACTCTATAATTATGCAATTTACATTGAAATAATCATTCATGTAAAGCATTGAATCCAGGGTTTGGCATGTGTAGTAAACTTTCAGTAACTCTTAGCTCCATAGTTTCACAATGTGTAATGACTACAAACATGCAGACAATATAGCAAATGTCAACTTGTTGGCCTATGTATCCTTTAAAATTTTGTTTTTAAACAACTAGGAGAAGATTATGGATATTTTCTCCTATCCTGATTTTTTCTTAATAATATGATGTTTTGATAAAAATATAATATCTGATGGCTGGAGTGGGTCTGGTGGTTGAGTATAGTCCCATGCGCAGAAAGGTTACCAGTTAGTTTCTTGGTGAGGCACAACCAGGTTTTCTGGGTGTAAGCCTAGTGGGGGGTGGGGGCCATGCAGGAGGCACCAATCAGTGTTTTTCTTTTTTTCCTCTCCCTCATTCTCTCTATAAAAATCAAATAAAAACAATATATCCATTTAGATTTGTGGTCTTCAGGAATAATTGAAATAATGCTTTTCACCTCAGGGAGCATGATGAACTTCATGAAATCTGAAATTATATCTCAAAACAAGAGATCAGTTGTAGACAACACTTCCAAGCAACCTGCAACCAGCCCCAAATCCTAAATTTGTCATTTTCCAGCACCACTGGAGGCCCCAGCACCAATATTTGCAATGATCAGTCAGTGATTGAGATTCTAATTCCACCTGATGGGCCTGGAAAAGTAAGTTACCCAAAGCGCACTAATTATGGCTGCATTTAGCCAATTGAAGCCCAGGCCAGGGGTCTTATCCAGTGCCGATTGGTTTGGGTGTTACTTCCAGGTGCTCATTTTGACCTTTTTGTTCTGTTAACCTATAGGCTCCAGCGCTGGGTCACAACTAGGACCAGGCTTCAGAGGCACTGTCCCCATGGTGCAGTGGTTTGTCTGAAGCTTGTTGAGCAGCAACAGTCAGTATTGAGGCCTATGTGCCTCCCAGACTCCGTTTTGCTTGAAGACTTCTACTCAGCCTCACTCCATTTACCCTCCATCCTTACATGCTGGTACCTGTCAGATCCTGAAACCCAGGTCACTGAGTCCAGAACAGTGAGTTGCTTGTGGGTGATACCTGTTGTGATGGGTGAAAGAGGGTGACAGGCTTCAATGAGTGTAAGATTGTGGTTGGTGTGGCTGAGCTGGGAGGATTCGGGAATCCTGGGCTTGTTTTGTATCTAAAGGCAACAGAGAAGACGAGGCAAAGTATTTGGTGAGAAGTTTCAGTTTAATTTTCAGGATCCTAGGGCCATCGATGGTGGAGAATAAAAGAGGGACATTGTCTGAAATAGGGTTTTAAACTCTTCCCAACTGCTGGGAATGAAACTAGAAGGGAGAGGATCCTAGTTGGAGACAGGAAGCAGAAGTCCCTTGAAAGATAGCCAACTAGGCAAAATTGTGCCCTTAGGACTGAGGCCCTGACATAATGCGGTCATCTCCAGGGGCTGGGAAAGATACTAACAGGCAGAGCCCATGAATCCTGGTGGTGGTTGCCAGGTTCTCAACAGACCTTTTGTTTCCACAGATTCCTGCAAATGCAGCATCGCTTAGGAGTACTGGTTTGTGGAGCTTATTTCAGGGCCTCACACTCTTGTGGCCTCTGATATAGTGGAATCCTGGGACAGCCTTCTCCTCTTCCAGCCCTTGGGCCTGGGGACCTTGAATAAACACTAAGCCCAGAATCCTAAGTTTAGGTCTAGGGTTGTATGAAGTGCTTCATGATTTTGGCAACTAGAGGAATGAGATGTGGGAGGTCCCTCCCAGGTAAATATACCAGAATGTGTAAACGCATGTTGTAAAGACTGACCTGGTTAAGAGATTTGCAGGTATGCTTTTTTTTTTTTTTTAAGGAAAGTATTAAAAATGGGAGAACAGTCAGATCTAGTGGAGCTTTGTGAAAACTTAGGAGTCTGTTCTGCAGGTGATGGGAGCAATGGCAGATTTGGAGCAGTGGAGGCAGCTGATCTGAACCAGGGCTCATTAGACTCCTGGTGGCTGCAGCATGAGGAACAATATGCCTGAGAGGGAGGAGGTAGAAGTACTAGGAAAGAAGTTGCTAGTGATAGTCTGGGTGAGTGTGATGGTAACTGGCTCATGCTGGTGGCTGTGGAGATGGAAGGAGCAGTTGCATTCTGGATCAGTGATTTAGGTGTGTCCACCTGGATTTTCTAATGTTGAGGTTGAGAGAGACAGAGAGGCAAGAGTGAGTTGATATGAAGGTTTGGATTTAGCAGCTGAAGGTATGGAATCACCATCAACTCAGATGGGGCAATTTATAGTAGGAAGTGTTATATTCATAGGAGATACAAAACCTTTTTCTTTTGGCCTGTTAGGGTATTTCAGAGAGCAGCTCAAGAATGTGTAGAACTCTGATGAGCAGTTCAATAGGAAGACTTCTTTAAAAAATAGTGGAAAATATAGACACCAGGGAGAAGTTTTTGTTCGTTTGTTTTGAATTGGGTGCCAAAGAGTATTTCAAACACGATGAGACTGTGGTTGGTGCTTATTTACTTCTCTAAACACTTACCAGGTTTTTTTGGTTGACATTGATGTGGCTGGGTTGTTGAAGTCAGTTTGGTGGAATTGCTTAGGGCAGTCGTCAGCAAACTGCGGCTCGCGAGCCACATGCGGCTCTTTGGCCCCTTGAGTGTGGCTCTTCCTAAGCCTTAGGAGTACCCTAATTAAGTTAATAACAATGTACCTACCTATATAGTTTAAGTTTAAAAAATTTGGCTCTCAAAAGAAATTTCAATCGTTGTACTGTTGATATTTGACTCTGTTGACTAATGAGTTTGCCGACCACTGTTGACCACTGAGTTAGCCTTAGGGGCATGAGTGGTCATCTCTGAGACTCACTTGGCATGGGGTAGAGGACCATAAGTGATGGGACTTGAGTGATAAAAGTTTGCAACAGGTGAAGAGACATCAAGTGCAGCACCAGTGGAGGTGGGCTCTGGATATCTAAAATCTGATAGGTGGTTCACATTAGGCGAGGTAAAAGGAAAAGCAATCAGAGAGGGAGACCTTCATAATACGCCACAACACTTCCTCTATGGTTGTGGACTATGAGATTAGGGGTAGTACATCACCCAGTTAGAATTTGCTAGGCATTCTCTGGGACACATATGCTCAATAATGAGTATGAGGCCAAGGATATGGCTATAGGTGCTTAGGATGTGGGAGTGCAGGTGTGAGACAGATGTGGTAGAAAAAACATTGTGAACTTGGGGAGGGTATGTGAATTCATGGCTGCAGGGCACTGACATTGACATAGGAATGAAAGAAAGGTGACTCCGTTTCTGGTGGGGACTGGATGATATGATATGGGGAATTTTAGGGTAATTATTGAAAAGGGAGGTTGTTGTGGTTCTACGTTCCAGATGAAGAGCTTAAATGCCATGTATATGCTCACCTGCTGTTTCTTGTTGAGGGCTGCCCCAGTGATCAATAGGAATGAGATAGCAGACATCAGTGTCACCTGTACTTGGAAACCTCCACTGACATGAGGAAGGGAGACAGTAAGAGGGAAATACATTACAGAGATGGTAAACTAGAATTTTGGGGAAAAAGATGATTAGAAAACAACCTGTCCTTTTCATGGAATATTCCTGTTACCATTGAAGTTGTGCCTCTTCAAATGAAGCTGTGTCAGAGGAGTGTGGTTCAAAGAATTATGTGCAGAAAAAATGATGTAGTGGAAAGTAATGGCCTCAACAATCTTGGTTTGAAGTTGGCAGGGTGAAATATGCTGCCACGTTTTTTGGTGTCTTGGAGGGACAATTTGGGGACAATAAGGGTATTCCCGTAGACAACCAGTGTCAAATCACTCACACTCCCTTTATGTGCAATGCCTCCTGTTAGCCTGTGTTTCTGACACCCACTGTTTTTGAAAAGGGGCAGTGTAACTCACATTTGAGGCCCAGAGCACAGGTATGTTCTATCTGCTTATCTGCCTTTATTGTTGTGGGAAGACACAGCATCAGTAGGAATATAAGGAGCGATTGACTTTGATGGGACCAAGGCCTGCTATCTTCTCTGATGTGGGAAGTAGAGGGAGCAGATGGATGTCGTGGGTGGGAAATATAACAGACTTGGAATATTAGGAGAGAACCTGATTATGGTCTGTATTGTCCCCATTATGACAGGATATGAACTTTGAGGATGTGGCCATTGCCTTCTCTCAAGAGGAGTGGGGGATCCTTGATGAGGGTCAAAGACTTCAGTACTGTGATGTGATGCTGGAAGTGTTTGCACTTGTAGCATCTGTAGGTAAGACCTTTACATCTCTCCTGTGTCCTGAAGTGATGTCCTGTCTTTCTTTATTCTCAACGCATAGCACTCTCTCAAAGCCAGACCATGGGTTCTGCAAATATTCCTCATTGTCTTCTCAAATGTGCTATGGCTGCCAGTGCTGAGTTGTATGGAGAGCCCTGAGCAATAGACTCCACAAACATCTCTTAGAACATTTGCCTAAGAAAGTGCAGGAAGTTTCTGTGAGTCAAGGGTCTTACAGACAGCTTAATGGATCCCACCTTCTGTTTCTTTTGCTGGAGGGTGACTATATCCAGATCCATGGCTTCCAGTTCTGCTCCTTTCCTATAGCTAAATTCCTGGGTGAATGTCTGTGCCTGGTATAGTCTTTACTTACATGAACCATGGACTGTTCTTGTAAGACCCTCCTTCAATTGTTCTTTGTACTATTACCTTCCCTGAAAACTATTGCAAGTGGATTTTCCTGGACCAGGGCTCCCTGCTCACCTCTGTCGTCTTTCATTAATACTGGGAATATTTAGGTTTTATGTATGTGTAGAGACTTTGTTGCAGGGAGAATCCTGTTATTTCACAGGGTGAACATGCTGGATGATATCAGAGCAGGCCTGGCCCTACTGACCGGTAACTAGTGGAATATATGATACAAGGGCTGTGTTCAGATCATACCAGGAACCAGCTTTTTCCATCAGTGTTCAGATGCAGGTGCCACTGGCTACACCACATTTCTACCTTATCTTCTACCTACTTTACAGTTTCCAACATATCATTTCCCCTGTGACTTCCTGGCTTTGGGCAGGTGCACCAAGAGTGTCCACTTCAGGTGATTGGGGAGGCTGAGCCACTGGGCCCTATAGGACACCTAGCACACAAAGCCACTCTATCAACACAGAGAAGCAGCCAAAATGCAGAGACAAAGAAACATATCACAAATGAAAGAAATGGAGGAAAGCAAACTATTGGATATAGAGTTCAAAACCACAGTTATAAAGTTACTCAAGAATCTGCTAGAAACCTCTGAGGAACTTAGTGAGACCTTCAAGGACCTTAGTGAGAATGCCAAAAAAATGGAAAAGGACCAGTCAGAAATTAAGCATACACTGACTGAAATAAAGAATAATATAAAGAGATTCAGCAATAGATTAGAGGATCCCAAGAATCAAGTCAAAGATTTGAAATACGAAGGAGTAAAAAACACCCAACCAGAAGAGCAAAAAGAAAAAAGAATCCAAATATTTGAAGATAGTGTAAGGAGCCTCTGGGACAACTTCAAGCATACCAACATCCAAATTATGGGGGTGCCAGAAGAGAGAGAGCAAGATATTGAAAACCTATTTGAAGAA